ATATCTTTGGCAAAAACTACAATTACATTCGCAGGTAATAAATGAGGTCTTGAGCATTTTGTAGAGAGCGCACTTCTTGCCTCTGGAACTGCGTTCGTTAGTTTTCCTCTTGGGGAGCTTCACGTCGGCAGATTAGTGGCGATGGGGGATGCCGAAGAGGGGACGAAAACCGCCGTGTGCGGAAAGTTTGGGAAGCAACAGGCGCGGTGTCGAATGGCTGAGCACCAGTATGAGAGCAAAAGACATAGTCTGGACCAAAGCTTTGTGGCCGCACAGAGTCATGAACATCAGCGGCAATACCGTGATAAAAAGAAACAAATATTCAAAAGAAAGAAAATCAGAATATATATTCTGAATAAAAACGATTCACTCCAGTGGACTTCTTGGTGTGAGGAGAAGCTCTGCAGCCGGTGCCAGCACAACCCGGCCCAGCGACGCGTGAACCTCGCACGTAACCAGAGTAGCTAAGATTGTTCTCGAAAACCACAAGCTACGCACTTGCGGCGGAGGAAACAATTTTAGGACGTAAACAAAACAAAGCCATGAACGGGCGCGGACGTGTCAGGTTAACGCAAACATCGCCATAAAACCTGAAGGTAAGGTGCTGTGATCATTAGACTGTAAGCTCGTCCCCACTTAATTCAGGTGTAGTTGCATCGCAGTTCTGAGCGGCACACATTTTTTGCTGCGCAGCTGCGCACCCATGCGTGCGCGATGCCACCGCCATAAGATCAACTAGTGACACTAAGAAGACTTTCATTAAACGGAACCTGAAGGAACCGGGAAAATGTGTTCCATTTAACAAGAGTTCCGTTTACTGAGTGGTGAAGAGGGTTGCAGCATTCAAGTATGAAACCAATCATATCAGAGGAAGTTGTTCCATTTAAGCAGCAGTTATGTTTAACAGATTTCCGTTTACTGAGAGTCTACGTATATGCAGCCAGTCATGGGCATGTTACCAGTAAAAAGTAACAGTTACTGAAGCCAAAAAGCAACTCTGTTACAGTTACCAATTTTCTAAAAGTAACTTGTTACAGTTACGGTGAAAAAGTAACATCGTTATTTTTCCGCTGCTGCATAAAAATTGATTACAAATCGAATGATATATTTTAATAAAGACGTAAGAAGGCATGCAGGTACTGAAAGTTGCATGTCGTGAAAACCTAGAACGAGGCTGCACAGGGCCAAAGTTTTGACCTAAACAATGTGTGTGTGTGTGTGTGGGGGGGGGGGGGGGAGGCTTCTGGAAATGTGGTTCATTTGCTACGACGCACCGGCTTGCAATAGCAACTCGTGGCCCCCTACCGAACGTTTGAAAGGACATGTGTGACTAATGAACTGATCGACCCCCGTTTATTTTTATTTCTTTGCCAGCGTCTACTGAGGATACCACCTGTATAGGAGGCGAAACCTCAATCACTTTGTTAATGATTGTTGTGTTAACTAGAAGTAGTGCTTTCACAATCAGTTACAAACCAGTTTTAAATGCTTCAGGCTTTCAGCAGTTTCATGCTGCTGTTTTCTAGCCACCTGTCAAACGCGACTTGCTGGAAGTCTCAGACAGAGGAATGCTCCACCGGCATACCAAGAAAAGCATAGAAGCTCAAGTGAAAAAAATAATATGTATATTCCCCTTACCACCCCCCCCCCATCCCCCCCTAAAAAAAGAAAAGCCCGGGGGGGGAGGGGGGGGCACATTAACTTGGCAAGGTGTTCAGTGGCAACATTATTGATGTTCGACATGTAGTTTTACGAATAAACATACCTTCCAGACGCACTTCGCTTCAAATCAGCCGGACAGGTCTTTGTCAAATATGTTCACCTTTAGACATGTAGTATGCAAGTAAACGCCGAACTCGGTTTTCTGTAGGAAAGATATTCCTCTTAGTGACTTGTTCTCTTAAACTGCGATAGGAGCCGTGGAAAGTTGAAAGATGGAGAGGACATTGTAAAGAAGAAAGTTATATATTGAAAAAATGAAAAGTGTGTAACACCGGCCTTAAACGAGTGGGAATGTTGAATGATTTACAAAAACTGCAGTAACTGTATTTTTCATTACAGTTACTCAACAAAAAAGTAACAGTGTTACAGTTACAAGTTACTTTAAATAAAAAGTGCTAAAGTTACTGAGAAAGGTAACTACCATATTTTTTGGTGTATAAGTCGCGTTTTTTTTCTGAATTTTTTTGTCGGTGCGACTTATATACAGTCAAAATCGGGTTTGATGCCGCGGCGGCCGCGACCACTTCGGCAGCCTAGATATTGCCGTGCGCCCCCTGTTGCCATGCACAGAAACCGTATTTTACAAGAAATAAAAATAGTGGTAAATTAACTCTCTAGAAATACCACAGCTGATGTAGCGTAGCACAGAAAATAAATATTCAAAGAGGGGTGAAAATGTGCAGGGACTTTAAAATTTTTAAATGATGAAAGGCGAGTTTAGATTTTTGAGCCGCCTCCTTTGCCATCCCTTTCATTCGCACTGGCGGCTGCTGCTTTGGTGTGCGCGTCGCATGTGTTGTGCCAGTCGTAGCGTGTAACGTAGACTCAGCGGCTTTGCTAATCTGACAACGGCACCATGGCTCCACATGAAAAGGCAAAGTCGACGAAGTTTCGATGCCAAGTTCAAGCTGCGCGCATTTGAATTTGCCGAAGAACATGAAAATCGTGCTGCAGGGAGGGAATTTGATGTCGCCGAAAAAATGATCCGGGACTGGCGCAAAGCCCACTGCGTCCTCCGGACAATGAAGTCTACAAAGAAGGCCAACCGCGGCAAGAAGGCATGCTGGCCGGACCTAGAGCGTAGTCTGTGAACGTGGGTGCTGCAACAGAGAGCCGAAGGAAGAGGCCTATCAACAGTGCAGCTGCGCCTGAAGGCGAAGGCTCTGGCAGTGGAGACAAACGCTGTGGGGTTCAATGGTGGTCTGTCGTGGTGCTTCCGCTTTATGCGCCGAATCAGCTTGTGATGACCCGCACTACAGTGTGTCAGAAGCTTCCTGACGACTTCCAGGCGCAGCTGGAACGCTTCAGCTCATTCGTGCGGGAGGAAGTAGCGAAGAACAACATCAGCGCGAGCCACATTGTCACACATGGATGAACTGCCGTTGACCTTCGACATCCCGCTTGGGAGAAGCGTCGCCGAGAAAGGCCAAAAGACTGTCACGGTGAGGACAACAGGCCACGAGAAGTCTCCCTTCACCGTTGTGCTCGCCTGTTGCGCAGATGGCACCAAGCTGCCTCCCATGCTTATCTTTAGGAGAAAAACCTTGCCGAAAGGTATTTTCCCTTCTACAGTGGTGGTTCAGACGAATACAAAGGGTTGAATGGACGAAGAAATGATGCGTGTGTGGCTTGACCACTGTTTTTCCCGTCAACCCGACGGATTCTTCCACGTGAAGCCAGGAATGCTGGTGATGAATAGTATGCGGGCACATATCACCGTCGTTGTCAAAAAAAAAAAAAAAAAAAATCGGTTCGAAGAATTGTATGCCTGTAATTATACCCGGCGGCATGACCAAGATGCTTCAGCCACTCGATATTTCGGTTAACCGCAGCTTTAAGGCCGTCCTGCGACGTTTGTGGGAATCATGGATGTCGAAGGGTGAACGCAGCTTCACTAAAACGGGGCGCATGAGATGCGCTGAGTTAGGGGAAGTGGCGAAATGGGTGAGCGAAGCATGGAATTGAATATCTGACAAGATCATTGTGGCGGGCTTTCGCAAGGCCGGTTTGATCCCCTGCGTGACCGATGTTGAGTCCGAATCGAGCGAGTCGGAGGACGACAGTGACGTGCCGGAGGACGACGTGCCCGGAGTACAACCCGAAATAGCAGCGCGATTTGTCAGGGACTCGGAAGAAGAAGACTTCAATGGATGTGATTAAACGCTGCTAGCCGTCGCTATAAAGATACTTCAGACTGAAAATATTGTGTTTATGTATGTTGGGAAGAGCTCGCACGCTAATCGATAGCCGGGTGAGCAGGTGCGACTTGTACACTGGTGCGACTTATATACGTTTTTTATTTTCGGAAAAACTGCCATTTTGAGGGGGGTGCGACTTATAGACCGGAAAATACGGTAGTTACCGGTAACATGTTACTAGTAACTAGTTACTGCCCAAGACTGTATGTAGCACTGTGTCTGATATAACAATACAAGCGAAACCAAAGCTGCTGGATACAGACTGAGAAAGCTACCTCCACACTTTACATATGCGGCGGACCTTCAGAAATATATTTTGCATAATGAATTTTCCCTCACTCCTCGCAGCAGCTCTCTATTGAATAGCTGGTGTAAATTCTTGGCAATTATGACTGCTCAACACTGTCAGATTGCGAAGCTGACACCATAATTTTATATTTGACTAGCAGAGGTTATTTTAATTACAGAACTTTGATGTTACTGTTACGTAAACACGAGTCGCACGCACATCTGTCAAATTTGCCAGCCAAGTGCATTTTCCTAAGAACACACGCACATTGGTTCGCACAAAGGTCTGTGAAAAATCACTATGTTGCCAAAAACAGGTAAGTTTATATTGATTCTGTAAACTGAATGGCGGGACTTAGTACTAGGATGTGCTGTGTGCACGAAAAATAAATTCAACATGCCCAAATCGACGATTCAAAGCGTCGATCACCGGTGACCGATTTGAATAGGCGTGGTAACAAAAGAGTTAAGCAGGCCATGAACGTATAAAGTCTCTATGAGACTAGGTTGAGGATTCGTCACAACTACATTTTAACCGTTATACGTTTAAAGTGGGTATTGCACTACCGAGGTTCAACTTAAGAGACTAGGCCAACATCCCATGCAACTGGACATAGTTCAGGTGAAATAAAAAGTTGGGCCAGTTAGTGTTTTTTTGTGATAAGTGAGGGGGGTGCGGAATAAGCAGCTTTTATTGTGTGCTATATATTTCCCGCTCCTTCAATTCTCATTACTTGCGTGCGCATTACTAATGCACGACAAATGTCCTGAATAAAAACAACTTTCACGTACCTTGAGGTAGACACGCTTGAATTCGTGCAAGCAATTCTCGGAGCAAAACTCCTTGCGCGCGTGGCCGACGGTTATGGCGTGCCTCAAGTCCTTGCGATTGTCCTCGCACCAAGCGCAGCACGGCTTCAGGTGGCCGAGACGACTCCTGGACATCTCCTGCTCCTGAGGGGCATTCAACAATGAGCATGCCATTTCCCCAAATTCCATCAGTTCAACAAATCACTTTCTCTCAAAGGTCTCGTAAAAAAGGGCAACATTTATATGCACCAAACAATGCACATACCATGAGCAATACGAGTCCCTTTTCATTTTAACTTTTTATATGGCAAGAAATAGGAGGCTTCAATTAGATTATCCAATTTCACAAACCACTATTGCCCTAAGTGGTGATGATTATAAGTAGGCATGTACAGAGAAGAACAAGATAGAGCCTGCACTCAATACATGACCATAATTTCCGCTCACTGAGAAGTTACCTCTTTCTAAAAAACCACAGCTGCATCACTCAATTTTGATGGCAGCTGCAAAACCCTGCAACAGAGGTACAGATGCTGCAGTTACAGCACACTGGTTGGGGTAGGCACCAGACATGACCAGGTTGATCTGGTGCTTTTGTTATGACACAAAAGTCATAGAATCGTGTGGTGCAGATGCCTGCAGCCAAGGCTGCAGTCAGGGCTGGTAAGGTTTTTTTGTAACTAAGGGTTAACCAGGATCCTACTGCTGCTATCCGTTGTTGAGTTGTTGAGACTTTGCCGTTACCGGCACCAGGAACTCGGGAGGAAGACGCCGAGCATGAAGAGAGTGATGTATAAACTGTACAGAGGTTCATTTTACATTATGTATAGACAAGCATTTCACTACATGACGAAGATCTAGACGAAGATGTCATCCTAGATTGTGAAGATCTTGTCGAAAACTCTCGCAGGAGCCTAGTGCGGCTGGTTATCAAGAGTACCTTTCTCTTCACCTATAAATGGGGGAATGGCTTTAAACTTCGCTGCCCGACCACCTGACACACATCACTTTCGACGGTGCCGCCCACACCTGCCCTGGTCAGTGTCTTTGACTGGGACGTGGCCACCGCACTACTCTTCTGGCGCCAAGCTGCCTCTTCCTTGAGGCGAGAATGCTGCTGGGTGCTAGGTTCCATGTTTGTACTACCAGGAACATGAAAAAGAACCCCACTCATCACACTCATTTTGCGGGACTAATTTTCATTCATGCTGTCGCTGCTGTCTCTGTGTCGACCGAAACCGTTTCGGTCGTCTCGTTGTACACTTAGCGGCGCCACGGCTGCATGCACCTTGCTTCCAGGCTGGGAGGACAATACCCATACTTGGATGGCTGTCAGTAGGCCTGCATCCTTTCGGCAATTTGTTCGCAGAACCCCGAACACCCCTTTTTGCTTGGCTCCAGTGACGATCCTAACAAGGTACAGCAACAACCCGAGCATAAGAGGGCGTGGGCAGCAGGCTCTGTGAATGCGCACACATCTTCAAAGCAAGTTTTTCACCAACAATATTACATAAACCCCTATTAGGAGACATGTACATCCAAAAGGACCCAATGAAGCTTGCATATTCCGTTCCTTGATTGAAAGAGTAGATCAAGGTACTCAGGTCGTTGTCACGTCCTGGGTTAGATGAGTCGGGCTGCAAGTGAATGAGATGAAGCTCATAGAGGCTACTGGCACATCATAATCATTTCCGTAAGAGTAGTGGCGTTTTTCACAAGATCACTTGGCATAACAGTCTTATGGACATTCTTCACCATAGAGCTGTCAACACTGTGATAGAGGGTTAGGATACTTTCTATGTAAGAAATGTGCAACCCCCAAATGTGTGGCATGCTAAAGAGGCTCTGCAACACTTTTTGAGCTGGATGCTATATACTTAAAAATTCATTGCATCATCACAGGCCCAAGTATCATTCCTTTGGCCGATTTCAGCATGATGCGCTCAGCAGTTGCTGGGGTCGGTGCTGAAGGCTGCGACGTATCCATGCGTGTGCCCATAGACATGTCACACGCATGCACATACACAAACAAGCATTAAAATTTTGCTAGTTTAAAGAAAAAAAAAATCTCATGTGCAGATGCGAAGCAGCGGGCACTAATGCTTACACTGGCAGCAGCGTTGATGCCCTGCTTATCGTGACATTGTGCAGGAGAGAAAGTTGGGGAGGCGCAAAGCACGCTGTGATGGACCAGTTTTTGCTATCGGAACATGCTAATCACTGCTAATAGTCAATAAGAGACAGAAGATGCTAATAGGACAAGACCCACATTATGCTCTTTGTTGCGCACCCAGCCAATTTTTATTGTTCAACAACACACAGGAGAACTCTCTCATCCGCACTACCTTGAAGGTCAAAATTCAGTGCCTGTCATATAGCGTGTATTGTAAACTGTTTGAACCTCCTGCGCGAATAGCGTGCGCATCGAACGGCTGAGAACGACTTAAAAGAAAGAAACGTCAAGGAAATAGAACACGCTCTTTTCCCATGGATGCTCGGATTTGCGAATCTTTCATTGGGCGTCTTTAAACGCCAAAGCGTGGTTTTCCCACATCGATTTTCGTACCGACCAGCCAACATCCCGAACTTTTCATTCCTGGTGTGGGTGAGCTGCTCTTCAAGCAAGACCAGCATGGAGCGAGCGAAGAACAAGTGGGCCACGCAGCGAACGATGAACACGAGAATCATCAACGAGGAGTCCAATCACTTCGAGCTTTCTGGTCTTCGAATTCTGCACTGCCGCCTACGCGCCAGCAACGTGGAACTTAAAGCCTTGAACAGCGTGGTTGCAGCCCTGATGACTGACGACCTGGCGGCAGATGACTATGAGCTGGTCATGCAATACGATGATGCCACGAACAGAACTCTGGCATTGTTCGAGCGCCACATCAACGTTCCGAAAACTTCTGCTATGCTGGTGTAGTCTACAACTTCAGCCATGGGAGCAAGGTCTTATGAGAGTGCGCCAAGCAGACATGAATAAGGAATAAAGAAGAGGTCGGCGGTGGGCTTCCCCATGTGGATGGCGGCTCCTTTTTTTTTCTCCACGGGGTGGCCAGTGAACAATTGTGCACTTCAAGCAGTCAGTTTTTACAATCGAGAAACTCGCTGCTAGCAGATGCTGCCTGCGTCGGCACTGCGAGGTGAGAGAGGGAATGGAAGAGATGCGAAAGGTGGAGGGGACATGCATGTGCCATGGTGCTGTAAACGCCGTGGGGAGGGATGCCTAGAGGAGTGAGAGGCGGGAGCGAGTGTAGGCTACAACACACTGCCTGTGTCAGAGCTGCTGGGCAATAAGGGGGGTAGCATAGGGAAGGAAGAGAGGGGGAGAAACGCACGTGTGCAGTGGGGAGGTAGATCCAGCACGACCAAGGGACACAGCCCCTGCCATAAGTTGCTTCGCATCCAAAGTGTTCAAGGTAGGCACACGTGATGCACCTTTTCCATCGTGCTATCCTTTCTACTTAGCTCTTAGCGCTTTCGTCAGAAGGAGAGGAGAGAAAACATTGGAAGTAGGTGCCTTTGTTGAGTGTGGTCTTTTCTTTGTACTGCTTATCCACTGTTTGGAATAACGTGTAAGTATGCCTAGCAACCCTTTTGAAGAGAAAGCAACAGCAGCGTGTGGCAAATATTTGTAACTCTGCTTGTACAGGACAAATTCCATGATTGTTTGCAGTGGTCAATTCGTGAGGCAATAAGCTTTATTACTTCATCTTTACAATAGTTACTTGGAAAGGTGTTGCAGGGACCTTTAATTAGCTTCTCCCACAATTTATTATGTAGTCATCCACAGACATGGATGGGGGCACTGCCACAAATCCTGTGGAGACAATATGTACATACGCCGGAAAGCTCAGAAGCTGAGAGTTTTTGGCATCTGGTTTTTAGACTTTCCATATTTTCTGCTTAGATTGCACATCTGAAATGTAATTTACTAATGCCACAACCACCCCATGTTGTCTTTCAGCCTTATGCCAGTGCTCTCGTGTGCCAATTTGTTTAAAGCTGTAGCAGTTTTCAAAAGTTTGTTTTACCATAATGCAATGATGCTACGCAGTGAAGTAACAAATATTTAAAAGGGACTACTTTTACTGGACCCCAGAGGGCCTTTCTTTATTTTAACCAAAAGTGCCCGCCGTGTCCGTCAGAAAAACATTACTAACATATGAATCCATTTTAAATTCACTAATGCTTAAAAAAAATTGGGGAGCCCCTAAGCTTCGCCTTTAAAGGGCCAGTAAACAACCCCAAGGTCCTGAATTATTATAAGGAGAAATATGTGCACTTTTACATCAAGAACATGCTGCGCAAGAATTTTGCAAATATGTGCTATCTTAAGAAAGTTACAAGGGCTAAAACATTGCTTTCAGCTGGTTTCAAACTTTCGCACGGCCTCGCCACCCTTCTCCTTCAGAGGGAGGGAAAGGCGTAGCCCATTGTCGTGACTCCACACCCTTTGGCAATTGACGTCATCGGCAAACTCGATCAGTCGCAATGCACTTCTGCTTGCTGCGATGCCTGGTTGTTTACTGTTTACCCGGTGCCGCTGTTTCTCTGCAGCCCAGTCGTTCGAATTTGTAGCCGACAATGATTTGCAGCAAAGCTGCGTTCCAAAACCCAGAATCGAAGTTGAGCCAATTTTTCGGGAATTCAATTTTTCAGGAGCAGAATGTCGTGCCATCTGGGAGCAGCAACACAAAACACAAATATTGCGTTTAATAGTGGGTCTGCTGATCAACAGGTGGTGCGACAGCCTGCTCGCTCCCAGAAACTACGCCAGTGACGTGTCCGGGTTTCAATACATGGAGCCTATAGAGTTTCGCAACTTGTATGATTGAATAGCTCTGTCGTAGCTGTGGGTGGGAACAGTTACTGTCATTGACTTTACTATTGTTTGCTGAGACCTGGTTTAGACTAATTGACGAGCTGCGTGCTGCGTCACGTCACCGATTGCCGAGTTGGCGTCACTGCGCGTGGAAGGAGCAGTGGTCAGAGGCAAGAAAGGAGTGCGAATTGTTCTTGAAATGGAGGCCCTGCGTAGGCACGCAGCTCTGTGATATTCATAAAACATGATAGCTGCGCTCTACGAATTGCCGAGTTGTTTCAGGTGTGTAAAAAAAAAAGTTGGACCCTGTTGACTGGCC